CCCTCTAATCGTCTCTCCCATTCTACCTTCCCATTCCCCTTTCTCGCTCACCCTCTCTCTCTCACTCGCTTTTTCTAGCAGTTTGAAATTACCAGTAGAGCGACTTATTGTGGAGGCTGCCCTGTTCCGCGGCTTACACGCAATGGCTATTAATATTGCAGCGTGCTTGAATAGCAGCAACATGAATAGGTCAGTGGCTTCGAAAGTCGTTGGATATTTATTATAACAGGGTTTTTTCCAAGGCGACCGTGGAAAGTTAAATTTTCGAGCGTACGACTCGGGTATAAATTTTTCGAAAATGTGGAGTTTTATTGAAATGGACGAAAAAAGGTTGATATTATGGATATATTGACCTAAAAGAGACTCTGCACGCGCAAACTGTATTTTATAAAATTTGTAAATTGTATTGTACAAATTGCAACGTTATTGGTAAATTACGTGTCGGGGCTTTGAAAATGACCTAATTCGCAACGAAATCGCGAGGATAATTAATAACTGAGATATCTGTATATACTCACGCGATATGTATGCCTCCTGAAAAATTTTAGTTCGCACGCCAACCAAGTTACGGCCAAGAGTGTATTTTGATTAAATTTTATTATAATCACAAGTACTAATATAATATATACAATAATAACTGCAATAACGTCAATATTATTATCATCATTGATAAAAAATTACGGTATAAAAGGAAGGTGTAAGAATCTCTCGGCCAAAGATAGAAGGCTTTATGTAGTTATTGGTCATTTGTAGGTATAGGCCGAAAGATGCTCATGTCCTAACACTTTGACGTCGTTGTGACGTGGTAGGGTGAGACACCTTCAGTCTAATTCGCTAAATATGACTTATGCTCATTGTTGCTTGTCGTGTTAACATCTACATTCTGTGCGGTTGGTTTCTCGCATTTACTTAGTTAGTAATACCGGAACTTATAATAAATTATCCGTCTTAAGCGGATCTTTTTGGTGCATATGACTACTGCCTTGTTGTCTATGTGCGCATCACGGCTATAGGGTGGCTCTAGATACAATCATGTGGCCCAACACAAGGGTAGGGTTTGTATTGGGTTAAATTATTCTATCTGCTAGGTTGACTCCAGTGATAGTAGGGAAACCCGTCTTCTCATTTAGTTTATCCAACACCGCCTTTAATCTACAGAGTTAAACAAAAAACTCGTGAATTATACTTATACAATGCCTTCCGTATCTTGTAGTACGAAGAGTGCATTTATATAGAACCATTAAAACAGCAGTGTAAACTAGCCGTTTGCTACACAGTTTACCCGTACTGCGCAATGTCCTACGTACTGGCTAGTGTATGCATACATACATACATACATACATACATATATACATATACATATACATAGATTACAGTGATAAATATTGTGATGCCGTGGGTTACCAGACAGCTGCTTGAGTAGATTTGAATCCGGTTTGCTATTCTTACTGGAAATAACTTACATCTTAATCCTGTATGGTAACCCTCTCTCTCTCTCTCTCTCTCTCTCTCTCTCTCTCAGTCCTCTCAACTCTCTCTCTCTGCTCTCTCTCTCTCCTCCCCACCCCGCTATCTTCCCATTTCTTTTTCTTATCTTTCTCCCCTCCTCTCTTTTGCCTGTTTCCGCTCTCACTTTCTCACCTCTCCCCGCTTTCCTTTTGGTCTCTCTCTCTCTCTCTCTCTCTCTCTATCTCTCTCTTGGCTTCTCTCTCTCTCTCTCTCTCTCTCTCTCGCTCTCTCCTCTCTCGCTCTTTGTCTCTCTCTCCTCTCACTCACTCTTCTCGCCTTTAAGCTTGCGTTTTGTCCTGGCAAAATCGTCGGCGGGCAGCGCGTGTAAAAAATTTCTGCATAGATGGTACTACAACGACAGATGGCTCTTATGTAGAGCGGTTGCAGAAGATGGCCGGTACCTCACACCACACTGGCCTGATCGCGTGATTGCGGGGGGCCCCTTCCGCACAGCGCCAATTTTTACCCAAGAAAGAACTGTCTGTTTAAAGACAATTCGGATAACTCCGCTCGGTGTTTATTGTTGAAACCACATTGTTTGAAGAAATTAAATTACGCACTCGCCTCTCGTGGCCCCGCAAGTGAGCTGCGCGAACCGTGGGTACAAGCATTCCATCTACGTATATGGGCATTGCGATGAAGCGACAAGCTAACTACTGTGGAATGTTCCACATCCCGGTCCCCCGTGCAGCTCTAGCTAGCATGCAGTCGCCCACGAGCCCAGCTACCACGAGGCAGAGAAGAGCACAGCGCATACCAAGCTCAGGCCGGGTGTGTGTGTGTGTGTGTGTGTGTGTTGGGTGTGTGTGTGTGTGTGTGTGTGTGTGTGTGTGTGTGTGGTGTGTGCTGTGTGTGGTGTGTGTGTGTGTGTGTTGTGGCGTTGTTGTGTCGTGCGTGTGTGCCGAGGCGTGCGCGCGTG